ACCAGAGACAAATCCCAGTCAGAGAGCCCTACACATGCCCTTCCAGGTCTGGAGCCTACTTCCCAACCCACTTATTGACAAGGGTCTAGGCCACAGAGCTCTAGAAACTTACAGCTCAGCACTGATTAATCTTGGGCATGTCTGTTGCTCTTGGAGATAATCCTGGCAGAGTCTAGCCAACAGGGTTCCTGCTGGCCATGTTGCTACAGCTGTGTCTCAGTCCTGGCAAGATCAATAGAAAAGAACAAGCCCAACACTCAAACACACCCAGCTGTCCACTCTGATGCAGCAAGACCAGGAATGCCCTTTCCATCTAAGACATAAAGGAATGGAAGGCCAGCTCCAGCCAATCTGTCCTATTCTAACCAGCAGTCATTCCCTTACATCCAATGCTACACTCTAGCAAGCCCCTTTATCTTAGGGACACTGTGGTGTCTGAAGAGCTAGCATCCCTAAGGAACGTCAGCAGGATACCACACTTCCCATGACACAACCCTTCCTCTCTGGCCAGAGTTCACTGATTCTTAGCAAGGGTCATTTGACACAAAAGCTGCTAATCTATAGTTCTGTTGAAGTTTACATTTAGACTAGGGACATGCTCAGGGTAGTAAAAGTACTTTCTGTGCAAGTCTGATGACCTGAGTTCAGATCCCCAGTACCCAGGCAAAGGCTAGATGTGGTGTGTATCTGTAATCACAGCACATCTATGGTGAGATGGGGAGATAGAAGAAACAGAAGAATCCCTTGTTAGGGCTCATGGGCCAGAAAGCCAGGGTATCCAGTCAGTGGCAACCAAGAAAGACCCTGACTTAGAAACAAGACAAAGGTGAAAACCAACACCCAAGGTTATTCCCTGATCCCCACATACATTCTATGGCACCTGCCCACGCACACGCACATACACGCATGCACATACACACTCCCAAATAAATGCACTTGTTTGAAGTTTTACATTTCTATTTCATTGGCACCTGGTATTTTCATGTGCCTGGAGGATTTAGCTCCAAAGTCATTTAGCAAGTCAATGAGATTCTTTGGGGATTTGAGGGTTTTGTTTGATTGTTTCAGTGGAGGAGGGTGCTAGGGATGTAGCTCAGTTATTAAGATGCTTGCTAGTATGTACCAGGTCCTGGGTCCAATACCCAGTCTCACCTAAAACTAGGTGTGGTGGTACATACTTATCATAAGAACCTGTATCAAAAATAAAATATAAAAAGAAAACACAGAAATGACTTGTTTGTTGCTTAGCTAGAAGAATGTGTGTGTGTGTGTGTGTGTGTGTGTGTGTGTGTGTGTGTGTGTGTGTGCGTGCACTATTTGCTGTAGACATTCTGGGACATCTGCCTAGAGGCCATTCTTTCCCTCTACTTTTCTCCTTTCTGACAGCAGCCTTCCCTGCAAGCCAGGCCTCAGCTCACCTTGAACTACTTATTAGGATAAAATGAAGTCAGGGACTAGCAGTACTTGAGTTGTTTTTTATTTTGCTTTTTTAAAAAGGATTTTTTTTATTATTTACACAGAATTTACTGATTAAGCATCCCTAATCAAGAAAAGAGAAATAAATTTTCAAAAAAACTTGAAATCCAAAATACTCCACAACTGAAACCTTTGGATTTTTTTTATGAAGGCTATCCAATTTGTTCTTGGTTTAATGCCCTATTATTCTTTCTCAGCTTCCTCTGATGCCTCAGTAGCACCTTGGCCACTGGACCAATGGGAAGTCTAGGGAGTGATTCAGAAAAACATCTCCACCTTTAATAAAAAATAAATAAAAATGGGCATACTGTTCAGAAGAAATTGATCAACTCTGGACAGAGCTATATAGCTATGTCTATGTGAAGACATGATGCCTGAGCTCCATCAGCCATGGATGGAGAATACACCTAAGAAAATCTAGGCCAGAGAGATGGTGGGACAAGCAGATGGAGGAGCCAGGGCCTTTTAAGTCATCTAGAGCCAGATGGGATGCCCAGCCTCTCTACGCTTTTCTAATCCCTACTGTTGACAGTGCTTTGTTGGAGAAAGCACAAAAGATAGTGATGTTATCAGACAGAGCTGAGCCATATCAGGCTAATACGCCAACAAAACAGAAACTCTGAGGTCCATCACAAAGGCAGTCTATCTGCAGGAGAGAACAGTACAAACACACACGTGATGTGTAGCCTGTGTTGAGCAGGAAACATACCTCAACCTACCTCTCTCATTGCAACTCCAGTCCTAATCCATCTGAGAGCCTTAAATACACACACACACACACACACACACACACACACACACACACACACCCTTAGTTCCAGCTCTGAGGAGGCAGAACAAGCATATTTCTATGAGTTCAAGGCCAGTGAGGCAGTCAGGTCTACATCACAAGTTCCAGACCAGCCAGGGTTAATTAGACCCCATCTTAAAAAGAAACCAAGTGGAGTCTCAGTGATTAAAGCAATGCTTTTTAAACTTTAATTAACCACTTTAAGATATTTTAGTGCCTGATCAAAAGCCTAATAGACCAAAATTTGTGTGACAAGTTTCACCTAAAGGACCAATCTAAAGTACTTTGAGAACTGTTCTAAATTTTGTGTCTGTACAGGAAAGACCTAGTGTGGAATGTGTGCAGAGTCAGAGTGTAAACTGACTTTGGGTCCGCCAGACCTGAAATGCAGACACAGGTCACTTCTGCTCAGAATCAAACATGTAGCTCTGGTTTCTTGGAATGTTTATGTGAACTTCTGACCCCTGAAAAGTACACCATTCACATGTGGCTGATGGGCATAATTACTCTAAAAGATTTATGAATGCAATAGCTTTTAGGGAAATCTGTCTTAAACAGCAGATTCTGCAATCACTGTAAATAATCAGCCCCTAAAAACTGTGCAATTCTGAAAACACAAGATGTTTCCCCAAGCAACACAATGACTGCATTTAGAAGAAAGTATTTTTAATGTATTTCCCCAAAATATTTTAAAAGTTGGATCAACTTTTTTCAAGCCACACATTAAAAATACTGATGCATTTGAGTGAAATGTCACACAGAAGTCAAACCATGAACCTACTGGCAGGAGAGGAACAGGTGCCTGGTTATCTGAAGTGAGGTTAAGTCAGGCCTTTGTAAGGCTATGAGGAAGAGAAGAGACTCAAGCAGTTAAGAGTGGCAGAGTTAACTACAACCTTCTAAAATCCTATGGTTTGAAAAGCACAGCACTTAAAAAATATGTCTAAATAAAATAAAATGTCATTTTGATATGGTAACACCAAAACACCTAAAGAAAAAATGAGCACAAGATATGAACAGAGACCAGAATAGCCCCACCCAAGGGGTTAAGGTAATAGCCAGGTTGTGATTATGTTTGGACTTACCCTTTTAAATCCCCCATTTGAAAACCTTACTTTGATAATTTAACTATATTAACAAAATAATTCATAGGCAATCATGTATATATGTGTTTTTTTATGCAGGGTATGAGATTAAAAGCTTAGAAACTATAGACAATACTAATAAACTAATAAAAAGGTTAACCTTCTCACTAAAGAAAGGAATGTACAAAAGCAGCAATAAAACATTGTCCCTTATGAAGCCGCTAAAGCCATTTTTTAATCTTGGTAATTATTTCCGATCTCAGGATAACATGGAATAGACTCACTTCAAACTTAGCCAATGAAAATAAAAACAATGAAATTCTTCTGAAAAGAGATTTGGAAAAATGTGTCAAAGGCTTTAAGATATTAACATTCTTGGATTATGGCTGCCAGGTTTAGCCAACTGCTCAAGGCATACTTGATCATCGTTATTCACTGCTTTTCTAAAATTAAATTTAACTAAACACTCTATATTTTAGATGATGACCCTAGTTGATCTCTGCAACTATACTGCTAGAAAATTCCAGAGGCAGGATGGATAATACCTCAGCAATGCTTTCACATATGGTGAAAGACTTAATCTAAATGTCAATATTAGAAAGACTGTCACATAAATGACAGTCATTTATGGGACAGTACAGCCATAAGATGACCAAGGGACACTTATGTTCGTTTTAAACTGTACAGTGAAGAAGAAAGACAAAGAAACTGCTCAACTACGGGCAGACAGGACTTCCATTCAGAAACAACAGTGACTCTCCTAGCTATGATGGAAAGGTTCTAGACAAAGTTGAAAGGGAACCAGCAAAATAACAAGGCCCCAGAGACTCATAAAGGAACTCAGAGAACAGAACAGGATGTGTTTATGAGGACTCTTGTGATTACACTGGCCTACCTGAACAGCCCAAGCTGTGCCCCCTACTTTTAAGGTTAGTTTATATGAAACTTTTCTTATGTCCCCTTCATGTTTAAGGTCATAAACATATTCACAGGTTCTGGCCATCATTACAAAGGCACCTTTGGGAGATCATTATACTACCTATTACCCTGGTACAGGTACATGACACAGGCACCAGGCCAACAGCTCATATAATGAAAGTACTGAATAGCACATGTAATGAAGATTATGAGGAACTGTTCAGTAATGAGGAAGGCATGGAATGACAGATCTCTAAAACAGGAAGGAAGCTAGGACATTCAGGATAAAGGCTGCTTAGTCATAAATGATATGATTTATGGATAAGGATATCTCAACTTCCAAGATCAAACTTTCCCTCCCAATTTGATGTTCCTGTTCCTGCCTCCTGCTCTGCACATGTTTTCTAAGTCTGAAAAGGACTGCAGGGCGATAGCATTAAAAGACTGTACCCAGCCTTTTTCCTCAAATTGAGCTTAAGTGGCCACACTAGTGCACTCTCATTCATTCCCTCTCATTCCTTCTCTGGCTGCCCAGCTTCCTTCCTGTAGCCCTCCAATGGCTACATCCCAGTTGACTTCATTGAGCTAGCTCCTTTTCTTACCCATCTCCAGGTAATATGATCTCTTCACAGGTTGATTTGCCATCTCTATGGATAGCAGTTGGATACATTCCATTGCTGCATAATTATGTGTCCCACAATTCCCTTATCAGGCCATGGACCCACACTCACCAATCTGTCCTCAAACCACTCCTTTATGTAGGCAGCCGTTGGGCCAGGGATCTGGCTCAGGAGGGCTTCTCTCTCCTGAGGAAGGGCCAACATCTCGAGGGCCAGTCTCAGGTCTTCAATGAGATGGAGCACTGGTATGGAGTTCATGCAGGAGGATGGAGGAGACAGCCCAGGCTCACAGGTACCATCACTAATATCTGCAACTGTTTTAGTGCCTGGGACAAAAAGGAAGAGGAGAGCTTGGTGAGAAGAGTGGATGTCACAGTCAGTGAACTTATCAAGAGCAAAGATAGTGAGAAGTAAAGAAGGGCTGGAGGATCGCTCCTGCCTCACCATGGAAACATGGCAGCAGCATCTTTACTCTCGGCTGGAATGGTGGGAAGGGAGGTCCATGAGAGATGGGTACAGACCACTGAGCCTGACATACAAAGCTTGAACATGAAGACAACTGATAAAAACATAGCCAGTCCCCACCAGTGACCAAAATCAATGAGACCCAATTATTTACCTTTTACAAATACATTTACTTTCTTTTTAGTCAGTGTTAGACTGCACAGATGGCCACTCCAAAGTCCTCCCATTCATTATGGGCATCCCTCTCCCTGGGCTAGCCTAGTCACTGTTCTTACTAGAATACCATGGAAGTGACTGCTAATGCTGGGTCTGGGGCTCAAGAGGGCTGAAAGCTCCTGCTCTTCCTGTCCAGTGCACCTCCTTGTAACAAAAACTACCTACCCTGCAGAAAAGACAGCCCCAACTGCCACCAACTACCTCACTGTGATAACAGACTCGTGAATGAAGCCATGCTGGGTCCTCCAAACCTAGATGAGCCATCCCAGATGATATCATATGACCCTTCCCAATGGAACATTATCACACAGTTATGGAATTATAAAGAAACAAATAGCAGAGCTGATTTCAGTTAGTTGGGTTAGTTGACCACACTTATGGACAAGGATTACTATACTCATTTTGGTGATAGATTATGGCAAAGTAGAATCTTTCTGGATGCTCTAATCGGGAGATTGCTGTATTAAAACTGTTTCAGTTCCTATGCACATCCACAGCCCATCTCCTCATGATGGACTGCACAGACTCTGAAAACAGAGTCTAAGCCAGGCATAGCTGAGTTCCCAGCACCCACTAGATGGTGAAATGTAATTCATTCAAAAGACTGCACACATGCTCAAGTGGATAGATAGTTAAAGAGAAAGAAATGAGTGCCTGAAGATCCTCAGAGATCTGGGATGTGGGGTCAGTTCCTTCTAATTTAGTGTGTCTAAAATAGTACTGTTCGTGTCTTTCTACACCCTATCATTCAGCTATAGGAAAGCCCAAACTGACCCCACAGAGTCTGGCTACCAAACTCTGTGTTTTTGGCTGGAAAAAAAAAATACATTGTAAAACATAGTTTAAAGGATGGATTTTTTTTTTAAAGGGCATTTGGATCATAAGGCCGATAGGGCAAGCTACCGAAAGTTAGGACAACCCTGGAAAATGGGAGGTGGTGGGCCACTATGGATCTGGCATGTAATTCCAGGTCCCTTTACTCTTTTAGAAGCCACCATCGTCCTTGCCAAGCAGTTTGGGAAGGAAAAATCCACACAGAAGGAAACAATTACCACAGAATTTGATTGCCAGTTTGCCTTCTGAAAATGTATGACAGAGGGAATCGTAGGTCACAATCCACAAACAAGTCAGGCTCTGGGGAGCTAGGAGACAGCACAAGTATCCGTGCTCTGATGTGTGCTCAGCACTTTCTGGCTCCTACACGTCCAATTTAGAGCTGATTGGGAATTGCATAAGCCAAACCTCAGGGAAGAAAATGGTTAGAAACGCAGCAAGCTATCCAATCTCCACACAGTTGCTCAGCAATCATTCCTGTGTGTTCTGAATGCATATTCTTTTCCTGTTTTTAAACTGTGTGTGTGTGTGTGTGTGTGTGTGTGTGTGTGTGTGTGTGTGTGTAATACTGGGGCTGACAACATGGCACAACAGATAAAGATGGTGTGTGTGTGTGTGTGTTTGTCTGTGTGTGTGTGCACGCTGCACACGCCATGTAGTATGCGTGCAGCAGTCAGATAATTGTGGGGTGCTGGGTTTCTCCTTCCACTGTGGGTCACAGGGATTGAGCTCAAGGCATTTGGCTTGCACAGCGAGTGATTTCACCCACTGGGCAATGTTGCATGCCACACAGTCTAACTGCAGAGTTTCACGCAGGTAAAGGATACGTTCAGCTGGAATGAAAGAAACTGAAAATGCAGAGGCTTTTGTTTTTCTAATTTTACATGATGTTACCACTGGGTATTTAATACCACATATAAAAATAAAATTTAGAGAGATGATCATTATACATAAATATCAAAGTGTAAGATTATAAAGGAGCAAATGAAAATTGGGTTAGATTAAGATTTGATAGGCACAAGAGTAACTGAACAAAATATGACCAAATACTGCACCTCTACTATATAAAATTAACTTCTACTACATAAAAAGAAGTCTGAAAATACTACTTATAACAATTATAATAAAACATTGATAGACCCTTCATATAGAGACACCTTATGAATCAGTTTTTTTTTAAAGTCCCAACTCACTTCTCATACACAAAACAGGTATAGAGTTTTGCACAGCTAACTCACAGACACCTGCAAAAACACAAATAGAAAATTAAAATATAGAAATAAAATGTTTTCTGGACAGTTCAGGGAATAGTTAAAATGGGAGTTCGGTTTTTCACTGGTGAAATAACTGAAGCTGAAAATGTAATGATCAATGTTGATAAGCACACATTGAGAACATGCAGAGCCTGCTTGGCCCAGTTTTTTGTAAGAAGCAATTTGACAAGATTCTGTAAAACTATTCATACTTTTTAACTAGCGATTCCAGTTTTACAAATCTCACCTGAGGAAGTACAACCAGATGTTCATCAAAGACAAACACACAATAAAGATTTCAATAGTGTGCTAACTGTGGAAACATGAGGGTAAATACCACCAACTAGGTGAGTATTTAAATTACTTCTAGAATATTCAAAAGTACTGCTCTCCCAGTGGACCTGGTTTGACTCCAGTCCCAGGGGATCTGATGCCCTCTTCTGGCCTCCATGAGCACAGCATGCATGTGGTACATGCAGGCAAAACACTCATAACACATAAAACAGATAATAAAAAAATTAATATAATTACTATGTATGGATGTTTAAACATGTATACATAAATAGAAAGAACAATTTTTAAATGTTGGCAGTGACTATCAGTGAGATATTGCAACTTGCGCACAGGTACTCCAGGTTTAAACATGCTTTTGAAAGCCATAGTGGATACTACACAATACTAGCACAAGAGACTTCTAGTGTGTATGTATATATGTATACATGTATGCAAGTGTGCTCATATGTGGGCCACAAGGAGACACTGGGTATGTTCCTCTTTGCTCTTCACATAATTATTTTGAGCTCACCACTTCTGTTTGACTGGCCAACCAGCAACCTCTGGCATTCACTTGCCCCTCAGCCCACCCCCACCCAGGCCTGCATTTATTGGCGCATGCTCCATGTCTGGCCTTTACATGGGTGCTGGAGATCTACACTCAAGTCTTCACGCTTACCCATCAAGTTTTCACACTTACCCATCATGCATTTACTTGTTGAGTCATCGGGTCAGCCCTCTGGCCCTTCTTTAAACAGTTTTGGAATGAGTGAATACAGACGCATTCCCTTCCTCAGCCCTGATGACCTTTATTTCACTCAGTAATTGTACAATTGAAGAACTGATATATTTTCAACAATCTCAGAGCTCTGTGGCTGGATCACATGATCTGTCACAAGTCATGCAAAGCCTAAGGGGATCTCCTGGCAAGTTAGCACACCAAACCACCAGGAGTCCCCTTCACCCACAATGGACAAACAGAAAAGCTGAAACAACCCATCTCAGAGCCATGCTTGAAAGAAAATTAAAATGTAGAGGACCCAGGGGAAAAAAAACGGAATGGTGAAAAATGTTCAAATTGACTCTAGAGCAGCTCCGAGCAAAGACCCAGACAGAGGAACGACCCAGGGTTGGAGGTGGAGTCTCAGTGAGGGGCGAGAGCAGTAAGTTGAGTGAAAGTCTATAGCTTCAATAGCCATAAGCATGATCTGTTTCATTCAGGGGCTCTGAGAAAATTCACCCATGGCAGAGAAACATGCAGAGCCCCAGGCATGTCTGTAAAGCCACACATGGCCACACTGTGAGAAATGCAGACTACAGGTCTCTGCAAACCACAAGTGCACACCAAATGCCTACTGTGCATTCTTTCCTAAAAAAATCCCCAAACAGAAATCAGTACGCAGCACACATAATGGTCCAGAATGTGAGCCAAACACTGCCAAAGGCACAATCTCCCACAGGGCTCACCTCCCCGTGACACACATAGTCCCTGCAGATGGCCAACTCCTACACAAAATTACAACCACAAACCTAAATCAAAAACCACATACAGCAAATAAGAGAATGTGTGCCCTAATCCTGGGGTCAAGAGATTAAGACAATAGATTAGTATTGGAGATGCCTGTGTATATGGCAAGGGATTCCCTTCCTCAATTATTTCTCAGAAAAAAAAAAGTGATTCAACTTATACTCAAGTGCTACAAACAAGTTTCTCTCTCTGGGAACACAGTGTTACATTACCTTGAATAACAAAGTGCTATTTAGGGAATATAAATCAGCACAAAGGTTGTAACTTTGAATGCTTACAGAATTCATAGAGGGAGTTTTGCCAACTATGGATACATAGGTCCCACTTCAGAGAATTAAATTTAATTGGTCTCAGATGATCTAGGGTTGTGAAAAGGTTCTTGACATTCTAAAATGAAGCCAAAGTGTAAACTATTGCATTAGAAAGGTCACTCAAACATCACTGGTTTCTAATGACTACAGAGGCTACCTGAGAATTATTTTAAGAAGCAAAACCCAAACTTAATATAAACATAGCAATTTTATTTAACATCCAAATAATTGTTGAGGATAAGACAAAAGTATGCAATTTTTAATTTCATTAAAATGTTGCATTAAGCATTTTATTTTTTATTAATTAATTTTTTCCAGCCCAATCCCAGTTTCCCCTCCCTGGAATCGCCCCTCCCTGCACCCATCCACTCTTCCTCCATTCTCTTCAGAAAAGGTCAGGCCTCCCATGTGTATCAGCCAGGCCATGGTATATCAAAGTTGAAGTG